ACATCAATTGCAACGATTTGGCGGCTAAATATTGAAGATTTTGGGGGCTAATATCGAAACAACCCTAAAAGAATCAAATTAAACAGCTGGGAAAAAAAACTAAACATGGCAACAAATTTAACTAGTATTATTCTTCGACCATGAAGTACAGCTCATTAAATGATTTTTCCACATGTTTATAAAGCAAATATGGCAATGGGGAGAAGAAACACACAGATATGATAAACTACAAAACTTAAGATAAAAAAACAATTAATTGAAGGGCTGCTCTTGGGAAACCTCTTTGATGTTTTACTTAATCGCTTTTTTTACAACCCAAAACATCGATGAAAAATTAAACATAATGAAATAAAATTGGTTTGGAAACATAGTTCGCTTGGAAAATCCTTTTTCATAAGCAGGAGTGTAGTGCTTTGCAAGTGAAGGCGCGCTAACTTATAAATGAAAATTTGTGAATGATTATCTATATGCAGCTCGTTTGGCGAAGCAAAACATGTGAATGAAGAAAGTGCTTTTGTAAGTATTGTTTTCACAAGCATATGCAACAAAGAAACATGGATGTACATATATACATATATGTATATTTACAAATCAATCTATCATATCATATCATATCTTATTATACCATATCATACATATCATATCATATCACATACGCACCAACACATGTGCACGCTTGCGCTCACATAGACATATAGGTGATATTGTACGAGTTGTCACCGGTGCTTTAAAAAGGAAAGGTGAGATCAAGGCCATGAGGTCCCATATTGCCTGAGGAGAGAAATGATGAGAAAGGCAATTGCCTGAGTGATTGTTACTTGCTACTATCAGAATTCAATAAAACATAAAGTTACGAGCAATATGTAATTAAACACAATATCAATGAATCCCAACATAAAAATTAATCATGACATAAAAATTGAAGTCTCATACTATGATGCAACTGAGACATAGACCCCCTACGTATAGTAGAAAACAAACACTAAATAGTAACTGGCAACCATTAACATAGATAATTAAGAGAAAGCTTGAGCTTAACTTGTGGCATGCCTCAAAACGATATAGGTATTAAGGAAGAAAACAAAACCCAAACACCAAAATAAAAAAATAAAAAAAGAAAGAAAGAATTCAACCGAAGAAAGAAACAAAAAGTTCTAACAGAAAAAAAAACTTTACTTTGTATAACTTTCGCACACTCAAAATTTCAAAATAGAGGCACCTTTCAAGCCTCACACACCCCTAAGGCTAGTGTCTGATGCGCCAAGGCAAGCTCCTGGAGCCTAGAAGGCCCTCGCCTTAGTAATCTTCAATTCTTCATCATCTAGCAATAAGCAAGGCAGCAAAATATAATAGTGCCTCTCTTAGCCACCTAGCTCAGGAATGATGTTTTTAAAACACTGGTTGTCACGTGACACCTTATTCGACGTGGCTTGCATGTGCGTATGAGGTGGTAACTCATTTTTCTAAATGAGCTACATAGACAAGGGGAAGTGATGTAGGACGCTTAACTGACAATTTTATGGATGATTCGGACAATCATGAGCTAAATATAAATTTATATGTATTATTGACTTTCGCAAAGAACCAATCATATCTTCCAAACCGGAAGGCGGATTCTAACATATTATATACGTAAATCGCCTATCTCGACGAGACGGAGCCAACCAGATTGTTAGATTTTTTAAATCTCTTAGTAATATCCAGTTTTTAGTTTATTTTTAGTAATAAAGTTGGAGTCTATTTAGATTAGGAAATAAATTTAATATTAGAGTCAAATTAGATTAGGAAACAAATTTAATTTTGATTCATGATTTGTTTCCTCTATTATAGGGAGTCTTTTTAGGATAGAATTTAATACTTTCTATTTCTTTGTAATTCTAGTCTTACTAGGAGTCTTATTTGTTTTTCTATTTAAGAAGAGTCATGTAAACCCAAAGAATAATAACTTTTCATCAAAAAATTTCTCTTTTAATATTTTCTTCGTGGATTCAAAGTTCTTCCTGGATTTAGAGATCGTTCTTTGTGGGTCCAGAGAACACCCCTTGGTGAATTCCGATGTTATCACTCCCGCGCTGCGTTAATTGATATCAGAGACTTATTTTTCCGATCCGATAGTAGGTGATAAAGCCCCTATTTCTCGAACTAAGTTCAATGAGTTGAAGACCGATGTTATCACTCCCGCGCTGCGTTAATTGATATCAGAGACTTATTTTTCCGATGATAAAGCCCCTATTTCTTGGTGAATTCCGATGTTATCACTCCCGCGCTACGTTAATTGATATCAGAGACTTATTTTTCCGATCCGATAGTAGGTGATAAAGCCCCTATTTCTCGAACTAAGTTCAATGAGTTGAAGACCGATGTTAATCAGATTAAGACTGTCGTAAATCAACTTGCGTAGGCAATGGAGCATCTGAACACAGTAGGAGTTAAAAATCACGTTGATGGTCGTCAACAATGTGATCCAACTTTACAAGACAAATCCTACAGCGATGATCGTAGAGGCTACCGAAGAAAGCAGAACTATGATGCTAGAGGATTAAAAATACCATCCTTCAATGGAAAACTTCATGCTGATGATTTTCTTGATTGGATTGATGATGTGGATAGATATTTCGAGTATGAGATAATCCCAAAAGATCGGAAAGTTAAATTAGTGGTTTACAGACTTATAGGAAAAGCATCTGCATGGTGAGATGAAGTATCGATAAATCGATACCATCAAGGGAGGGATCCGATTAGAACATGGGAAAAGATGAAGAAATTATTGAGACTGTTTCTTGCCTTTTAACTAAAAACAATATCGGGTGTCTTTCAAAGATTCTTTTACTTTAGCCGACACAATCAGTCTAGAGAAGAAGGTGGAGCGAGAACTTGAGCAGAATGATAAAGGACCTTCATCATGGATGTTTTTAGAGAGTTATCAAAATAGTTATAATTATGGAAAAACTAAGAAATCTTAATTCATCTCTGAAAAAAAGTCTGGATTTATGAAGAACACCGAAAAAGCAACAACACTTCATCAATTATGTCAATCATAGAACCAGAGGCATTTAAGACAGATTACTAGCGAGAAGGTTATTCTAGCGGCAGACAACAAGACACTCACCATCGAAAAGGAAGATTTTGTCACTATCAAGATTCATTATGAGATTCCTGATGTTGATAGTGATATGTTAATAAAGACGAATATTTTGTATGATATCGTGAGTGATGTTACACATACTGATATTGTCCCGATGAAGAAGGATAAATTAGAGAGTGAGGCAATTGATGGTATGTGTGAGTTATTTGGTGGAGGGCTTGAGGCAAAGGAGATGAAAGAATTGTGTGGAGTATGCGGAAGAATTTTCTTCTTTAGAAGCAAAGATTGTGAATAATTTCAATAAGATTTTAATGATACTTCCAGTACTAAAACATGACAAGCAACATAAAATATATATTTTGAGTTTTTCACGTCAATTGCAGACCCACATGCCGTCAGTCACATAAACATGGTGTTGGAAAGATTTATTCAAAAGTTTGATTCAGAAGAAACCCTAGCCGAAGAGGTAAAACAACAGATGAAGAAAATTAATGCTAAGTACAGGGCAAATGCTGATTGTTGCAAGAGAAAAAAATTATTTATCAATGAAGCTACTAATCTAACAAATATAAGGTCGGGGTCGAGCTTCTTTCAACAAGAGGAGAGTAATGTAGGACGCTTAACGAATAATTTTATAGAGGATTCAGACAATCACGAGCTAAATATAGATTTATACGTATTATTGACTTTCGCAAAGAAATAATCATATTTTTCAACCCGGAAGGCGGATTCTAACATATTATATATGTAAATCGCCAATCTTGACTAGACGGAGCCAACCAGATTGTCAGATTTTTTAAATCTCATCAATAATACCCAGTTTTGACTAAAATCTGAAATAATCAGCTTTTAGTTTATTTTTAGTAATAAAGTTGGAGTCTATTTAGATTAAAAAATAAATTCAATATTAGTGTCTAATTAGATTAGGAAACACATTCAATTTTGGTTCATGATTTGTTTCCTCTATTATAGGGAGTCTTTTTAGGATAGAATTTGATACTTTCTATTTTTTGTAATTCTAGTCTTACTAGGAGTCTTGTTTGTTTTTCTATTTAAGAAGAGTCATGTAACCCCAAAGAATAATAACTTTTCATCAATAAAATTTCTCTTTTAATATTTTCTTCATGAATTTGGAGATTGTTCTTTGCGGATTCAGAGAACACCTCTTGGTAGATTCCGAGGATATCACTCCTGCACTACGTAGGAAGCCCCCCCAGCCAGCAGTCCTCATTAGACTAGATGCACCTTACTATTATATCTTCGTTTTATTTTGCTAACGAGGTGACAACTCATATCCAACAACAAACATAGAGAGATAAGACTACTATCCTCTTTAGTGGAGAAGGAATCTTCTCCTATTTTTTAACCCGTGAGATTTAGCATTCAATTCCTAGACGATCTATAGTCAGATGCAAGCAAATCCAGATTAAATAAGTATGAAGGCTAACTTAGGGATTTAGGAAAATCTCCACATTTAATATAGGGCTATATTCGGTATTTACTTTTTCTTCTGTCTCCCATCCCTTTCATGTTTCTACTTCTACTCATCCTCTTTGATACCAAGCACATAACGTCAAATTATATTCTGCTAGTTGTCCCCTTTGATAGAGAAGAAAGAGAAGAGAGAACAGTTCATGGCCTCAAGAAAGATGGAGCTAATACATTAAAGAATCACCTCAATTTCATGCAGAGACTTGGCTAATTAGAATCATCTGATTTTCTAACACAATAGTTATAAAGAAATTACCACAAAATTAAAATTATGCCATTTGCTTAAGGTTATTTAAATAAGGTTATAAGAAAATTCAATAAGAATTATGAGAATTTTAGTTGATTACTTATTTTAAATTTAATCCATAACACTTGTGAAGAAAATTTGTCGATGAGTTTCATGAAAGAATAACTAGAGACGTCAGTCAAATTTATGTTTTTCAAGAATTCATTGATGGGTTTACATGCTAGCTTAGCTTTAGAGTTGATTATAATTGAAAGAGGTACTACCTAAGATTTGATAGAGTTCCAAATCTGAAAAATGTAACTTTATAAAGACCCCCCACTCTACCCTTTATGTTTAAAGATTTGACACTATCACGTGCATAATTTCTTTCAAATCTAACACCACACAAATCTAGTCCAGGCTTTCTAGCAGTCAAAAAGATAAGAGGAGATTTCTTCTCCTCTTAAGAGGAGAATAGTCTCAACACACACACACACGAACATGCCCGCCTAGGTTTCCCAAACACTTCCTCTAGGCTCCTGTATCCGTGTCCGTGTCCGTGTCCATACTCCCTGGAAACTTCTTGAATGTGTACATATATTTATTCATATGTGTACTCAATTATATAACACACACTTTAATTCAAAAAAACTCTTGATACAATTCTCGAACATATATTGCACACTTCATGTCAAATTTATGCAACTCACTAAACTCGGGACAGATTCGTAAGTATGATTTTAAAGGGTTTATTGGTATCTAGTTCAAAAACAAGTGGATTTTTTATTTATAATCTACCCAATTAAAGAAACATAAAAATGATATAAGGATTTTAGTTTCATAACATGTGAATGAAAAACAATATCAACCTCATATCGATTATTAATTTTAATATGTATGTATATAGCCGTGTCCCCCGTATCCTAGCATTTACAAATTTGCCGTCCCGTATTTGCACCCGTGTCCGTGTTAGTGTCTGCACTTGTATCCGTGCAACATAGATGCCCGCACACCTGTGCCCGCCACACCCGCACTCACAGACATATGCATGTGATTTGTAACATGGATCGTCCATTCCCACTAGGAGCTGAACACCGGTAAGATGAATACTACTCAAGATAAGGGCTTTGTTGTTATTCTTGGGTACTTTACCATGTTCATGTCTATGGTACAAACATACAGAACTTTACAGCAATAACATTATATACCAAGGGATGTTAAGTGAATGAAACAAATTAAATAACATAGTTGAGAAATTATGTTGAAGAATAAAGTTCTCTTGCAATATTTAGCAACATAAGCTAATTATTAAACACAAATTTAGCACGGTTCAGAGTCTAAACAATGTATGATGAAGGACAAGAGAATAATTCTATTATTATTCATAAAAAAAGTAATGAAACTGACCTTTCCCCAGTGTTCATGTCTTCATGTACAGGAACTTCATGTTCCTCCTTTGTACTTTTGTTTGTACTGTTTCTATCACTTGCATTCTGTCTTTCCATTGAGCTTCGAGCTAACCGAAGAAGACTGTCCCGAATGCAGAGCCTGACTCTAATGTCCAACTAGAGAGAAATTTTTTACGTTGTGTTAAAGTTGATAATTGTAAGAAAAGATATAAGAAAATGAAATTATATATAAGATGATATAACCTTTCTCAAGGAATCTTGAAGCTGATAATATATGGTTTTCTCCGAGGAGTTATCATCGGTCAATGCATTTATTCTCTGGGAACTATCATGTTCATGTAATATGTTGAGACCTAATGGTGGCAGTTTGTTTTCATTTTCTTCCATGCTACTATCGCTTTTCACAACACCCTGACCTTTATTCCTTTGAAAATTTTCTTGAGAAACCGTATCTTCAGCACCCATAATTTGATGACCAAATTGCTGCTGCTGTTGCTGTATAGCTAACATTGCCTGTGCTTGTTGTCTCCGTCTCAATTTTTCTATCTTTTCTTGAGGAGTCATTGCCAATGCTTTGGCCTGCATCTCCGGTACCATATTTGAACTATTTGAATAATTTAAGGGATCTGGATAGTTTCCAATAGGAACATCGGTTCCTCCATAATTGTCAGCTTGAACATGTTGCATCACTGGAATACCAGGAAATGGGTATGCAGGATATCCATACTGAGTATACATGAACTGCGAGGAACCAATATTTTCAGCATCATTTACTTTCCTTTGTTGAGCATATACAGGCGATGGAATGGCTTGTGAAGGAGGGAGCCATAAGAAAAGGATGCATATGTTGGCCTGGAAGTTGCTGAGTTTGACCTATATTTTCAGGCCAAGGGGCATGAAAGTTCTGTGAGGCCTTGTTCTTGCTCCTTTCTTCAGCTTTCTTGCGAGACTTCAGCAGTTTCTTTTTCCTATCATCCTGCACACACTCTTATTGATGTAACATGATCACACAATATCACTTCTGTTGGTATTTAACAAGTAAAAAATGGATAACAAGTATCAGGACTTTAGTCCTATCAATCCATTTCGAATAATTAAAAGTTGCATATTAACTAATATAGTAAGGGTGTGTAAGCATTAAACTGATAATCATAAGCCACAAGATGTTTTGTTGTAAAAATGCAGCAAACATAAATTAAATGAAACACGTCTATTGTTTAGGCAAAAAAGAACGAAAAATAAAAGATAACGACTTATGATTATTTGTATATCATAGGAACAGCTTGCATACTTTCAATACATATGCTAGTGCCTTTTGCAATGAAAACCAAGGATGTTTTATAGTGCGAAACCACCATGGATGGACTCTATACACTGAAATTAACACAACAGTAAAACTTTGGCATACAAGAAATTTTTATTCAGCATAGTCTATAGAGGATATATAATTAATAATCTCCAACAGGGTCATTATGAAATAGAAAGGATTTTCAGATAAGTAATACAAGTAAGCATCTCTAATTAATATGTTGTCTCATGGCATAAAATTCCAATTTTTACATTACAATTGAATTGTTTATTTAATGAAGAAGGGCATATTCAACAAAGAAATGTGGATGCTAATTAAGAAAGCTAAGTTAAAATGTCAGGTTGCATGTGAATCCAGTCACACATAGTATAATACTAAATATAAATATGCTATTGCCACCTTGCAAGAACAATATTTATAAGCAAAATACTCATACACACACCCCTTGTAAGATTCAATACTAAATATGCTATTAACTATCTTATTAAAAATATGTTCGTAAGCCATGGTGTCTTAATGACATTTCATCTAATATACATTTCATATGCACATGACTACTCTGTCTACTTAAGGATGTATTAGTAAACGTACATGTCAAAAAGTTGATGGGTTGGTCATGACAGCGAAATGTATCCATTTCTGTACAACATCATTAAGGTTAACCCATATATGAATTAAAACCAGTGAGAAACACAATGATCTAAATTTCTTTGGTTCATACTACTATCAAAATCCTTTTTTTTCCAATGAATAATCAGGATCAATGATCAATCAAGTTCTCACTTCTCACCATATTCCCTGGAGGTATGTACTGTATAGCTATCTAGATGTTAGATAATAGATTCTCTTTTAAGAGAATACACCAGGCAATGTTAACTTTCAGCGAAGGTTTTCATGTCTAGAATCTATCTTATGGGTATCATCTAAGGCAGGATATATGTAATATCGCAAGATTTAGTCCAACATCGGATGTTTTTGAGTGATTGAATGGTTTAAATAATTGGTCTTGAGAGCCAAGTGTAACATTAAGTAGTCAACTTTTGCAGTGGATTGAGCCAAACCATATGTTGCACTTTGTGAGTCTTACGACTTGCATCACGCCAACGGTCTCGTGGGCCCTGGGCATGACAAATGCTATCAGAGCAGCTAATTGGAAATGTGGAGCTAAGGGCTATGTAGGGCTAACTACTAACAATGTAATAATTAGAAATGTGGAGCTAAGGGCTATGCAGGGCTAACTACTAACAGTGTAATAATTGGAAATGTGGAGCTAAGGGCTATGCAGGGCTAACTACTAACAGTGTAAGTGCGGTGTGAGCCATCTCTAGAAGACCGTAGGAACCACCTCTAGAGTCCACATTGCCCGTGGTGATACTGGGACGAACCAATTGTCATGCTGCAATGAGGATGTTACATAATTAACATGGGGTGATTGTGATATGCCAAGATTTAGTCCCATATCGGATATGATTGAGTGACTGCATGGTTTAAATGATGCGTCTTGAGAGCCTAGTGTAACATTGACTAGTCAATTTTGACAGTGGATTAAGCCAAACCATGCGCTACACTCCTTAGATCTTAGGACTTACATCACGCCAACGAGCTCCTGGGCCCGAGTCATGACAATATATTCCTTCTCCTTTATCAAAGCTTGAACAATCTTTGGCTGGATGGGAAAGGTTGCCAGCGGTGATCTTCATACGAGCTCTTTTTTTCCTCTTCTCCCTCCCAACTAGACCAAGCTTCTCCAGGTCTGTTCACTTAACAATAAAGGAGAGACATTTTATCGTGTAGGATCCAACAAAACTTCGTTCCAATCCATCAAGGTTGAAGACTCAACCAGAGAATGGCCAGAAGTACTCAGGACAACGACCAGAGAATTGCCAGCATGAGACCATGAATAGCAGATATGGGAAGGGGATATTGTTTGAGCACAACACAGGTTGGGAACAACTCACTCTGTGGGCAGCTAAAATAGAACATTGCTTGAGTAACATATGGTTCTTGCAAAGTGGCTACTCATACAAAGCTACGTCTCCATTGGAAACTCAGAAAGCGGAGCTACTCAAGCATAGGCCTGTATTATCTTTAGCGATGTGCTGCACTACACAAGGAGAACAATTCACTCAGCATAGGCCTGTATTATCTTTAGCGATGTGCTGCACTACACAAGGAGAACAATTCACTCCGTCTTAACACACAACAAAGCAGATCCTTTGGTACAATGGCATGCAACAGCAGGGTTTACATGAAGAGACATCTCAGTTTTATTAGGGGGCTAGTTGAAATTGACTAAGTGGTATTCACATGGAACAAGGTTGGTCCTATCAGAATAGCTCATGGAGACTGCATTTAATTGTACGAAAGATTTTGTTCAAACTGATGATTCACATTTTACGGAATGAGAAGTTTGAAAATTTTAATATATTTTCTAGTATTTTCAGCATCTTGAGATATGAGTGAGGTTTGCATAGTGCTACTCACCATGAGTGAGGTTTGCATAGTGCTACTCACCTTTTCTTTTAGCATGAAGCTCTTCTTAGAATATAGGGCTCCTAACTTTGAAGTTTGGTCACAGATCAACTAGCTATTGATACAACTTGTTATGGATACAGCGAAGGAGGCTTTCTAGCGCATCGAGATTGATTGACCAATGTGAATGATTATCATCAATGCTGAGGAAGGGTTAATGGCTGCTATTTGGAACAAAGAGTAGTCTTCAACAAATTAATACAATAACATGATGGCTCTCAATTGAGCTATGATGGTATATAACATGCAAGGTGTCATAAGGGGAATGTGATGAGCTTTTTGTATGCCTTATACAAACTTCTCTTACTGCTCATGGCTATGAGGTTAAATGTGTAGCTGCATGGTTTGCCTTGAAGAGTTTAGTTGGATCAAATCTGCCTTTGGTAACAGATCACATTTTACTTGAAAGAGAACAAGTGAATGTTGGATATGTGAAAATTTTAAATTAAAAAGAACACTGGATATGTGCCTTTCGGATGAATATCCTAAGTGGTCCAGATACAGGTTTGTAGTGTAAAACCTTACAGGTTTGTAGTGTAAAACTTATCTATCTGGATGCTACTTTTGATTGGGACATTGGGGTTTTATCATTTAGGGATCAATCACTATTTGAATTTCTATTAAATCAACCAAGAAGAGGTAGGACATTGAATCTGAAGTCAAATTGGTTGATAACTGTGAACTCACCAACAATCAGCCTATAATGGAGTTAAAGCTTATAATGTGTTGGAGTTTTTTGTTTTAGCTGTTAATTGATTCATAATCACAAGCTACGTAAAGGATGAGGATGTGATTTTGATGAAAGATAAGACGAATAGACTTGTGAAATAAAATAGAATTGCTGCTATTGTCTTTTTAATATAGTAGACTTTTTATCCTTTTTCTTTTGTGAGATCAAATTATATGTATATATCCATATATTTGTATCTATTCCTCTTGGGGATGTCTCGTTAATATCTTTTCAATGAAACGATGGGGTTAATACCTCACAGTTCTTTTCTCAAAAATAAAAAACCGATCTTTGGCTGGATCCTAAGTTCCCTGGTGAAGTATCCTACTAGATGTTACTAAGATTGTAGCAAAAATAGCTGGTAGAAATCACTCAGATGGTTGTCATCTCCGATATCAAAAAATTTGGGTTCAATATGAAAACTACCTTGGAATGAGGTGAGGTTCATTTTTGTTCCTCCTAGCTCTACCTCAAAATTCAAAACCACCACTAAAAAACTGGATGTTTAACCAAAGAATTCCAATATTTTCTGTAGAGGCATGGATGACAAGAAAGTGTTACTCACAAACTGTAGCACTAATTCATGAGAAGCTTTGATTTGATATAGTATATTTTCAACAAATAAAAAGGCAAAGTGAGATGGAAAATACTGCAATCTAACACTTGGTCCATAGGTTAGTAGGAAACGCCTAGATATCATCCACTTGAGATTGCTTATAGGACTTGTTTATGTCAGAAAGTTAATCTTGAAATTGAGTGGAGGATTCTTGAAATTGAGTGGAGGATTAATATTGGATTTAGAATTAAGGGAGCCCTTAATCTTCTCCAATACAACAACAACAACAACAACAACCAAGTCTTTATCCCAAATGTTTGGGGTTGGCTACATGAATCTTATTTTTCAATTCCATTTTGTTATGGGTCATCTCCTCCATGAAGTTAGTCTTAATCATATCCTTCTTAATTGCTTCTAACCAAGTCATTCTAGGTCTACCCCTAGATCTCCTAGCCCCATTAACTCTAATATTATCACTTTTTCTAATCAGTGCACTAAGGGGTCTCCGTTGTACATGACAAAACCATCTTAATCTATTCACTCTCATTTTATCCTCAATAGGCGCAACCTCTAATTTACTACGAATGTACTTATTTTTTATCCTATCTTTTAATGTATACCCACAAGACCATTGCAACATTCTCATTTCTGCTACACGTATTTTTTTGAACATGTTGTCTTTTAGTTGCCCAACACTCTAACCCATAAAGTATAGTTAGTCTTCTAAATGTCCTATAGAATTTTTCCTTTAGTTTTATTGGTATTCTATGATCACATAAGACTCCTGAAGCACTCCTCCATTTCAACCATCCTAATTTGATTCGATGCACAACATCATCCTCTATCTCA